GGGGCCGAATTAAACATCCCATCTGCAGGTGAGCAGTATCAGCAACTGAGCAGCCAGCAGAACCCTGAACTCTAGATCCGCCCAGGAATTTGCGGATCCACCATCGAGGGACAACCCGTCAATTGTACGCACCGACAAGGCCAGACGCTACTTCCCCGGAGGAACAGACATCCTTGGTAAAAGACATACTCAGAGTAGCAGTCATGATGGCAGTTTCTCGGCTCTCTCTCTCGACCTCCACAACCACAGCCGAATGGCAGTTTGCCTCCTTGTAGCCCAACCCGGCAACGTTCCCTGGATGGTCCCTTTTGCTTTGATTTAAAGACAACCCTTCCCTCCAATTAATTTTGTTATAAGTCCTCGATGGCCAACCTTTCCCCCACACGATACTCTATAGCCAGTTCCGTCTGGTCGGCGTGAATACGGAAGGAAGAGGGAGGGGGTGGAGGGAGCAATACGGAGATGACCCTTGACCGCACTGGATTGGCACCCACAAGTCAGTTGTCATGTTTCCCAACGCTGGCACCCGGAACCACACAGAGTTTGGAGGAGACCGCCCACGAGGGCATCCAAGGTCCCCGCCAGTCTCAACATCCAAAGTTGGACTTGTAGGATCCCCAGGACAGAGCAAGGGACTTACGTAGGAGACCATGCACCGATATCGCCCATGCAGACTTTTTGACGACTCAACCCGAGGTGTCGGCAAGGAAGGACCGAGAATCGACACCAGTTCAACCCCGGACCACGCAAAAGAGGGACAGGGGGGAAGGGCAAGAACGGGTGTAAAGATAAACAGGCAGTGATAGCAGATCCCGGGGAATTAAACAAGTAAACTAGCAATCAGAAGAGGGGAAGGCAACAGGGGACGAAGATGGCGGAGGGGTGGGAATCGAATGGCTCGTGGATAATAATTAGATGAATAAGTCACTCCCCATAACTAATCCGCTTTCCTTTCTGGGCCGAGCGGATACCTGCTGCTGCCTAAGGCTGCCATGTGGTGCCGCTAGTCCCGTTTAGGCCAGGGTGCGCCCCAAAGCCTCAACTATCTACTCCGGAGTCCAGTTACTGTCTCTCCTTCTCCGATAGTGGTTCACACACGACTCGGTGCGAGGGCCAGTTTCGGTCGGGAACAATACGGGGCATGTTCAGCTCATCTCTTACGATGCGGGATAGTTAGCCTCCCAAAAATTGTTTAACCTGTCCTGCAGTGTCGCAATCTTTCTATCCTTCCCTGCAAGGACTTGAGATCCCCAAGCACGCTACGTAGATTCTAGTCGACATGCCCAGGTACACTGCAAAAGCTGAAGCATACGGAGACTCCGATAGGCCTTGCGTCGCTCATGTCCACGGTCTATCCCATGCCTCTCTCACCATCCGCTTGTCCCTGGCTAGATGTGCTTTCGCCCGTGTCGCTCGTCATAATCCAACCAGCCCTTTAGATATATACCCAGGATTATCTTGCCATGTGGTGGAGATTTCATATACGAATCGATGTCTAACAGCTCATTGTGAGATGTATCTTGAGCCCAACACTCGAACACCCGGCGTAGTCTGGTAGGCGCTGTTCGATCGCGGCAATAGTGGGGTAGAACAAAGAAATTGCAGTCGCTGAGCTGGATCAACCAGAATACTTTTGAACCAACGCGAATGTGGAGGATGATGTAGCGGCGCCATGGCAGACACGAGTCTGCAAAGGTGTGGGTTAGTCAGCAATGTCTCAAATTTCCGATCTTGTCCCAGGAATGGCCGTGGCGATCGGTAGCACTCGCTTGGGCCATCATCAGCGGGAAATGGACGAACGATCCAGATAGAACGAAAGAGGGGAGATATATCGAGACGGAGGAGGATGATCCCGGGTAACTGGCCACAAAGCAACGCTGAGAGGTGAGCGGGGTTTGTTGGAGGATACTGGCATGAATGTCATCATCACATTCCGCTCGGCTTTATTACCGATCGACATTATTGGCGGAGGAGATGGGACAAGGAGACTTTCCTAGAGTACATATTAGTGAGAAACGGGCCAACCCATCAGTATCGATCAATAAGTAGTCCTGCGAGAGTAGTGAAGCTCGAGGCAGACAACGCGCGCGCAGAGATAGAGGGGAGAAAGAGAGAGAAATGGAGCGGGGAAAGGCCAATGCGCGTTGACCGCAAAGGCGCGCAGCTCAAAACCCGTTCCGGCGGCCGGCCGTCACTCACGCTCTCATTCTGGGTCCGTTTCCCTCTTTCTCGCTCCTCCTCGTCCTTTTTCTCCTCCCCACCAACCCTTTTCCTGCAATTTCACAGACTATGTAGTCCTCGGTCTTCGTTCAAGCTCGCAGGCGCAGTTCTCGGATGTCTTTTCTCCTTTGGTCACAATTGGCATTCCTCTGTCCTTGACTTGCCGGCTTTTTCCCCTCTGCTGCATCTCTTGTCATCCTTAACCACTTGTCTGAGGCGTTGTCGACTCCCCCAGCTCTCCACCCGTGTGCGACAGCTCGCTCACGGGCAGGTGCCTACTCCTCGACGTTGTCCTCTCTCTTTTCGATCCATATTCTATTCTTCCTCCTGTCCCTTCATACCCTACGACCGTTTTATTGTCAGAGTTCGGTCGCTCTGCCCATCTCCCCCGCTAATAACCTCCCTCCATTATGACGCCTCGTCGCTCCTCTCGTGCTCGCAACCAACCCTCTCCAGCTATTCTTCAGCATACAAACTCCTCTAGCTCCTCCAATTCCATGGCTCGCGAAAGAAGCACCCGGTCGAATCACAAAATCTCCTCCCCTCAGCGGTCCTCCACCAATCGGTCCCAGTCGATCGACGATGCCGACACAGGCTCGAAAAGTGACTTTCGAGAAACACGCCAGCGACAGCGTGCTCGGGGGGAGGAGGATAATGATCACCATATGAGACTTGAGGATGGTGATGACGATGACGGAGAAGAAGATGACGAGGAGGAAGAAATTACCCGGTGTCTCTGTGGACAACAGGAGTACCCGGGTCTGCCTCCTTCTCGACGTGATTTAAGTCGGCGCAATGGTTTGCGAGCCGGCATAAAAGATGAGACATTCAATCTCGCCGCGGACGCATCAGACCTGTTGCCAGACGAGATCGGGAGCATGTTCATCCAATGTGATTCGTGCAAAGTCTGGCAGCATGGTGGCTGTGTGGGGATCATGGACGAGGCTATGAGCCCCGATGAGTACTTTTGCGAAGAGTGTCGCAAGGACCTCCATAAAATCATCAGCGAAACAAATGGGTAAGCCGATGTCTTCCTTTTTTCGTTCTCGTCGGTTTTTGTACTGCGTCTCGGTTCTTGTTGCCAGACTCAAATTTTCGAGCGAGCCGCTTGTGCTGTTTTCTCATCCGATTATTCGCTATTTCTCGGCATGTGGCATTTTCGCTTACGATCTCGCAGATCATATTCGTCCCAATATCTTCCTGTCGCTCCTCCCCCTTCCACTGCTCCATCGTCACGAGAGTCGTCGCGGGAAACATCGAGACGCGCCAAGGAACCAAAACCACGACACAATGATCCTACCAATCCTAAGAGGCGATCAACGATGAATAGCCGTGATGCGGCTTATGACGAAGAAGAGCAGCTGCGACGGGCCATCGAAGAGAGCAAGGAAGATAACAAACCAGCTGGTGATGATATTGCGGCCCGGAGGCCCAAGAGAAGTCGCAGTGACAGTGAAGCGTACGTTGACCGTTGTTCATTGTGCTGGTGATCAAGCTAACAGGACGGTAGGCAAAAACAAACGACTAAGCGACAGCGCACGAGCTCTCCCTCTCCGGGCGCCGTTTCGAAAAGTAACCCTGCATCTCAGCCGGTCTCGGAGGATGAGTCGAAGAAACCTGCCACCAATGGCGTCCGACGGCAGAGAGCTGCTTCACGCAGCCAGCGTGATAAGGAAACCAAAGAACCCGAAGAACCTGAGACGGAGCAGCCAGAGGTTGCAACTCGTCGGAAAAGCCGATCGGAGCGACAGAAGGGTGATGGTGAGTGATACCGCTTCCTGTCAATATCCCGATCATGAGGCTAACTTTTGAAGACGCTGAGTCCGACCTTGAGACAGGATCCCCAATCAAGCCTAATGCGAGCGAACCCGAGCCGAAGCAACCCAGTCCGGAGGAGACGCCTGCCCCTGCCCCCGAAGCTGCACCTTCGCGTCCGTCCACTCGCAAATCCGGCCGTCCGCCTGCACGGCGTGGCGGTCGCATCGGACGGAATCAATATACTCGCGATCGTGACACCAACGGCACCGACTCAACAACACGGTCGCCGCGGCGTGGACAATCGCATGACCTTGGAGGGGATTCGCCGCGTGTGGGTGTCAACGGGACACACATCAACAGCAGTGAATCGGGCAAGCCCAGCCGGCCCCGCTACGTGAACCAACGAACCACCATGAACGAGATGAAGCGACGGGTGACGGCGATCTTGGAGTTCATTTCACGCATGCAGGTGGAGATGGCTGTAGCAGGGGAGAGCACCACCCCGCCGGGTAACGATGACCGGCCGAACGGGGTCAGCCGACTTCTGAGCGAGAGTCAACTCCTCTCCAGTGCTATAGAGAGCGCTGGCCTGGAGGGCGGTTCAGTGGCGCAACCCGCCGCAGAGAAGGATTTCAAGGACCTCAGCAGCGTGGAGATGATGGATGTGTTGACTCGTCATCTCTTGAAGTGGCAGCAGGAGTATGGCAAATTTGGGGAACGGTGACGGAGCTACCGGCAGATCCGTTTCTTCTTTGGCAACTGCTGGCTAGGAGTTTTTGCTACGCACGATACCCGGTTCGTCTCTTCTGAAAGTGTGGACATGTATATTATGGCTCTGGAGCATCTTGAGGACAGTCGGCGTTACGAATCTTACGGAATAAGTACCCTGCTCATCTAGTACGATTTGCTTGGTTGTTGAGGCGTGAATTGGATATGTTTGATGTCGGTATATTGGAGTTCTGGCGTATGCCATATGCCAGCTGATCACGGCCTGGCTTCGCTCAACTAGATTACTTTGTTATGGTTCTGGCATATGGCTTCATTTTCTCACAGTACGAGGGTTAATGTTTGATTGCTGTGGATAGTATAATACCATTCTTTCTGATGCTTTCATCTGGATATATGCTTTCCCTCTGTTAGCAACATACTACATCTTTATCATCTGGCCACCTGCCTAATACCTTAGATTCTTTCGCTTGCTCCACAGATGGCTGGTAGGATCAGGGCCGTTGATTCTGTTCTACAGACCCTGCCTACCTGATCCCAATCGACTGACGATGGGCAGGGAAGGTGAACCTGCAATACATCTGATCATATGACGTGCAAGAGCATGCATATTGTAATAAATATAACAAAATGCACTTGAGCAGCCCCACAAGAAGACCTGCAATACCACAACAGCTGTTCCTGAAGAATCTTAATCTAAATTAGCTCTTCCATGGCGTCTGCAACCTCCCGTGCGGAGCTTAAACCTGTCTGGGTAACCTTCGTCATCACCCACCCGATGTTTAGCTTCAAGAGCAGTATATTTAGTCCCTCTTGTCCATTCTTAGGCAGTTGATCTACTATCTTTTTCAAGTCCAAAATGCGTCCTTCTATAATCCAGCTACTACCATTGCTTCTGGCCGGCCATGCCAATGGTCTGGCCCACGACACCGGAGTATATGGGCCCTCGCTGGAGCTGGTCCACCAATACTATGACCAGTTTCCCACAGGCGTAGCTGTATCCTCCACGGGCCGCATGTTCTCCTGCTACCCTCTGGGCCTGGACGCCAACAACACCCGCTACCAGGTAGCTGAACTAACGGACTCGACCACGGAAGTTCCATATCCTTCTGCAGAGTTCAACTATCCTCCTGGTGGAGCTGTCAATTACTCTACTTCTCCAGCAGTCAGTCCCTTCCGACCAGCAACACTTACATGGCCAATCTACTAACATGGATACATCTTAGACAACCGTCAACTACGCCAACCACCTCATCAGCGTCCAAAGCGTCGTCATCGACTCCAAAGACCGCCTCTGGATCCTCGACACCGGCCGCGCCAACACAGCCAACAATACCCTCTTGCTATCCTCGTACGGAGGTCCAAAATTAGTGGGAGTCGATCTCACCACGAATAAAGTATTCAAAACGATTCTCTTCCCCAGAGATGCCGTCTACGCAGACTCTGTACGCATTCTTCTGTCCTCCAAAACATCACTACTCATCTAACAAGAGAATGAAACCCAGTATCCCAACGACGTCCGCTTCGATCTCCGCCCCGATCTTCCCAACACCTCCGGCCAAGGCATCGCCTACCTGACCGACTCCAGCCCGGAAGGCCGCAACGGCCTCATCGTAGTCGATCTCGGTACCGGCAAAGCCTGGCGGCAGCTGGACGGGCTAGCTATAACGAAAGCAGAATCCGACTTCCGTGCCTTCATCTGGGGCGACGTGGTCGACGTGTCCACCGGGACAGATGGAATCGCACTCTCGGCTGATGGCGAAACGCTCTACTTTGGGGTTGTAAGTGGGCGGGATATCTACTCTATTCCTACTGCTGTCTTGCGCGATGACTCGGCTGCAGGCCGGACTAAGGCTGTAAAGAGCGTGAGCAAGATCGTTCAGAAGGGGGTCAGTGATGGTTATGAGACGGACTCGGAGGGACGGATTTATGTGGGGAGCTTCGAGTCCAATGCGATTAATGTGGTGTATCCCGGGAATGCGAGCGTGGAGACGTTTGTGAGGGATCCGAGGATGGGGTGGACGGATACGATGAGTGTGGTGAGTTTGGGGGGGAATGGGACTGAGGGGAGGGGGTATTTGTATTTCACGGAGAATCAGCTTTGGAGGCAAGAGAAGGAGAGGCCGTTTGCGTTGTTTCGGGTGGGATTGCCCGGGGGTGCTGGGAAGGTGGTTTTGTAGGTGGGTAGTTCTCTAGATAGAGATGCTCGGTATCTGGAGGAAATAAGTCCGGGAGTAGTTCTATGAAATGGGTCATGTCATGATAATGGTTTTTGTGAAGGTATTCATCCATGGAGATAGGGATAGTTAACTGCGGCCTCCAAAACCCTAAGTCCGGAGAACGGGTTCTAGATCCGCGGAGACAATTATCACCGAGAACCACACTACTATACATCTTCTGAGAGATACAATATAACGTAGAGTCAATTCTAAACAATATAAAAGGTCTGAAAGAATTCCCTTCATCTATTGCCCAACACTCACTTCCTCAACAAATTATCAGACCAGGTCTTAATCCAAAGTATACACCAACACCAACAATGGCTTCACCCGCTACTACAGATACAACAACAAAGAAATCCCCCCTCTCCCGCCACCGCCACCTCTCCCCCCTCTCCTCCGTCCGCATCTCCCCCCTCCAGCTCGGGGGCATGTCCCTCGGCACCACCTGGAGCGACCGCCTCGGCGCGGTCCCCAAATCCTCCGCCTTCTCCCTCCTGGACAAATTCTACTCCCTGGGAGGCAACTTCATCGACACGGCGAACGCCTACCAAGCCGGCCAATCCGAGGAATGGATCGGCGAGTGGATGGCCACGCGATCGCCGACTCGGCGGTCCGAGATGGTCATTGCGACGAAGTACACCTTGTCCCCTATACCCCAGGGAAGTTCAATCCAAGAAAGTAACTTCGGCGGCAACGGCACGAAGTCCATGCGCGTATCCATCGAGGAATCCCTCCGGAGGTTGAGAACAGACTACATAGATATATACTACGTGCACGCATGGGACTACTCGACCAACATCGAAGAACTCATGCAATCGCTGAACCATCTCGTCGCGCAGGGCAAGGTGCTCTACCTAGGAATCAGCGATGCGCCGGCATGGGTGGTTAGCAAGGCGAACACATATGCCCGAGTACACGGGCTAAGAGGGTTTAGTGTCTATCAGGGACGGTATGGAGCTACGTGTCGGGATCTGGAGAGGGAGATTATTCCGATGTGTAGGGAGGAGGGGATGGGGTTGTGTGTTTGGGGGGTGTTGGGGAATGGTTTGTCTTCCTATCCTATCCTATTCCCCATGTTTATGGGTAACGTGGTTAATGAACTAACAATATATAACATGGATAGGATATCTCCGCTCTCCGAATACTGCAGCCGAGAGAGTGCGGAATGTCTCGCACCTGCTTACCGGCCATGAGGAACATGTTTCGTTGGTGCTGGATACGGTTGCGAAGCGTCATGGTGAGGGTGCTTCGGTGACGAGTGTGGCTATTGCGTATGTGATGCAGAAAACACCTTACCTCTTTCCCATCATCGGTGGACGGACGGTCGAGCAGCTCGAGGAGAATGTCCAGGCGTTGAGTCTGGATCTTACGGAGCAGGATGTGAGGGAAATTGACGCCGCGTATCCGTTTGACTTGGGCTTTCCGCATAGTTTCCTCTGTCCCGGGGGATATCGCGATGGTGGGGGGTGTCCGGGGCCGCAGGACGTGGCGTTTTCGAGGGCGATGGGAGAGTTTGATTATGTTGAGGGGGGGAAGGCGATTCGGCCGTTCAAGGGATAAGATGTTTCCGAGATGAGATGCTTTCGAGTGGGATGTTTCCTAGGTCAGATGCTTTCTTTGGTGGAGGGTTTGTTTTGGAGAGGGGGTTGAATATCTCTTTTGCTTCCTGTCATTACTGTTCACAATAAACGAAAAGAAATTGCACGCCTGTCTGGTACTATTAGCAGCCTTATTACCATCAAATTAAGACATTGAAACAGAAGAATGACCCTGCCCCGTGGAGAGGCATTCAGGGGGCCCAAGACGTCCCAGCATCGCGGGAATCAGAGGGCATATACCTAACTAAATAGCACAGTACCCGCTTGAACGAAGCTTATGTTGCTGCAAGGCTATGCAACCCCAGAGATGAACTCATCATTGATATACACTTATTGGCTGGGTCTTAGGAATTAAAGTAGAATACTAGCGTTCTATTCTATCTTCCGAATTCTCGTCGGAGGGTTTCCTGAAAGTACGAGGAAGTAAGGCCATATATATATACTATACAAGGACACCTCCAGCTCTTCTCTACTTAGTATTCACCTCACCCAACCGAAGTCCCCGTCCACCCATTCTTTTTATCCCACATTCCATAAGATGTTTACCAAAATCTCCCTCACACCTCCAAGACATCAGCAGACAACAGCTCTGCAACATCAGCGGAACAAGCATCGGTAAGCAACCAACATACATACATAACCAGCCATCATTGCAACCAAGCTACTAATAACCACCCACCTGACCCAAAACAGTCTGCGGCGAGACTCTAGGATTCATTACAAAACGTGCGCCCATCCCATTCTTCTCCCCCCACTCTCATCCTCTTGTTCATCATACACATTTATCTGCTGTCTCAGCCGGCACCTGGGACCAAGTAGCAGTGCAAACACAATTACGACGGCACGAAACGGCGAATGTCATGTGGAGATTATGACGGCTTAAAGGGTGATTCTGGTGGTAGCAGGCTACTTATACTAGGCGTGATATAGTAGATTGGATAAGTAGTCATACTTCCGTGTCCGAAGAATCTTAGATAGATCTATCAGTACCACTAATATATATATATCAAGAGTATTCGTATGCTTCATGGATTGGCAAAACTTGTTTTCTGCGTCAATCTTACAGGTCCACATAGTCGAGGTAGAACTGGAATGTCACCCCAACTGTCCACGGAGATGTATAATGTTGATAGAAGGTACAGCGGAATGTGTCAAACTACAATAAGCTTACTTGGAATGCGATCAGATGTACAAAAAACAGCATAAGCTACATCCATTATCCTAAGTACAACAAGGCCATGCCAATACATCATTTTCAAGAGGCCATTCCATCATTGCATAATCCATCAGATACAAAAAGCTCGAGGTCAGGTCATGTCATAAGGATCGTCGAGAAAAGTTTCTCACCCAGTTGCCCGGCAACCTTATTCGGGAAGGTATCCCGTGGATCATACCCGGCGGGACAAGCCAGCGGGTAATGCCCGGGAGCTAAACCGAATGGGGAAGGTGGATGTGTGGGCTTACAGGCGGGAAGCGTGGACCACCTTGTAGTCGACGACCAACTCGCGACCACCATCGTTGATGACCAGGGCGCGGACGCTGCCACGGCCATCCTCGAAGGCCTCACGGATGCGACGGAACAGGTGACCCTGGGGCACCACGGGCAGACCCTGCTTGACATCACCGGTCTCGGTCATGGCGACCAGGCGGCCGTCATCACGGAGGTCCAGGATGCGGTAGGTCTTGTAGACAGGGCCGAGCATGGTCTGGACCACGACGGAAGGAGAAGGGTTGGAGACGAAGCTGGACTCCTCCTGGAGTTCACGGGTGAACAGGTCGACACCCAGGTAACGGTGCTGGCCGGTCTGGGGGGAGACGGAGATGCGGATCACCTGGCAGGGACGGCCCTGAAGGATCAGGATGTCGCCAATGCGGATGAAGTGGCAGGGGATCGGCACGGTCTCGGCGGTCGAGGAGCTGCCACCGGCACGGGGCTCAACGATACGGACATCCTCGCGGACGCCTTCCACGGAAACGAACTGGACCGCCTTCGTCAGCGACGACTACGTCCTGGCGGTCGTGGTGACCGTGAGGGTGCATGATGCGGTCGGCAGCGCGCTCCACACCACGACGGAAGGAGTGATAGTTACCGTCGTCGTCGTAGTAACCCATCTTGCGAGAAGGAGGGGAATCAATGACAGTCTTGGTCTTGAGAACTTTTACAGAGTTCGAGCTGCTGGGAGACTCGGGAACCGGCTCAACGTTCTGTTGACGGCGGCTGTAAGGGTCGCGGGGGTACGAGTCGACAGGCTTAGGCTGGTAAGCACGGTCGTACGAGACGTCAAACTCGGACTGCTTGAATTGGCGGTCGTACGAAACGTCCCTAGACTGCTGGCGAGGACCAGAGAAGGAATCTACCGAAGCCTGAGAGCGGCGGTCGTACGAAGAGGCAGGAACGTCGTAGGTAGGGTTGTTGACCCGACGACGATACTCGCGCTCAGTGATATCGAGCTGGTTCTGGAGAGCCTGATCGTAGGTGGGTTGACGGTCTTGGAAACGGACCGACGGTTCACGATAACTATGGTTGCGTCAGAGAAGAGTGACTAATGCAATAGTCATGTAGGACGGGAAGGTGGAGGTCCAATGGGGTAATAGGTAGACAAACAGCACGCACGCAAGCAAGCAAGCAAGCAAGCAGGCAGGCAGGCAGGCAGGCAGGCAGGCAGGCAAGGGGATGTGATGTATAGTAGGGTTGGGGTATGATGAGGGGGAACGTGAGATGATTGGGTGGAACAGGACTTAATACCTCTTATGGGAGGGTGTGTGGGAAGGGGAAGCTTAAGCTGGGACCACAAGTGGGTGGGAATGCAATGGATGGGGGGAAAGAAATAGGAAAAAGGGGAAAGGAAAAGAGGAAAACAGGAAAGCAAGAGGAAGTAGAAGAGGAAATGAGAAGAGGGTTGGGGAAGAGAGGCTTGTTTGTTTTGGTGCCACGTAAGAAGGAAGTGGAGGGACGCGACTAGTAGTGAAGCCACGGCCAGACACCGCTTCTTGTCGCTCTCCACTTGGGCTGGAGTCGATGGTGCCCCGTGCCAATCCGATCCCCAGCCAGGCAGCCACCGGAAAAAAAAAAAAGAAAAACAAAAACAAAAACAATTAAACAAAAATAATACACATGTAAATAAAGAAAAAAATGGAGACCAGTGAAAAAGTAGTGGCTTACCGTTCACGCGCTAGATCAACTTGCGGATACCGAGGAGCAGCAGAAGAAGCACTGGCACCAACGGGGGGGATAGTCTCAACACGCTCGTCAAATCGAACAGTATTGACAGTAGTAGTCACGTCCTCCTCGCGGAAAGCTGAAGGAGCACCGGGTCTAGGACCGTAACGATCCTGCTCGACAAAAGAAGAAGCGTGAAGGTCGACTTCTTCCTTTCCGTAGACACGGGGGTCCGGGAGAGGAGCAGAGGTTCGAGTATCTTCCCGTTCGACGTGCGAAGTGCGATCGAGATTGACTTCTTCCTCTACTCTGGCAGGCGCCGCGAGAGTAGCTTCAGGAACAGCGTCACTCCGGTACGACGACGGGAAGACACTGAAGGGGATGGGGACGCGGGCGTCGAAGTCCAGATTGGCTGTCCTTCGGGCGTCTCTTCTCGAATGCCTTTCGAACTGTTGGGCAACAACTCGAAAGACGAGACAAGAAAAGACTTGTTACGGGGAAGAAGAAGTCTTTCTCGGGGGAAGGTGTACGTGGGGTGGGAATTGAGAACGATCCGTGAGATCTATCTCAAATCAAGCGGAGAATTCCTGGGGTAGAGGAATGTAAGATAAGCTTAAGCTTAAGAAAGAAAGGGAGGGGTGGAAGAATGGAATGGAAGAAGTAGAAGGTGGAGAGAGGAGGGGATGAGGATAGAAAGAAAAGAGGAGAGAGAAGAGAACAAGTGAGGATGACGAGAGGAAAAGACGGTGTTGAAGTAGCTGGAGATACGCGTTTGTTTACCGCGCCTTGCCGGATCGGGGGGATGTTTACAGTCCACTGTTGCTTCAGCTCTCCAAAACTTTACTTTCTTACGACTGACTCTGCCTATCTACAGTAGATACAGTTAGATGGTATCTACTGGAACAATCATCCTGCCCACCCCCCCCCTTCCAGCCTCCTGCGGGATGTACAATCTATGATGGGGGGAGGTTTATCCCGAGGTTCCTAATCTCCTCTCCATCCACGGTCGGCGCTTCATCCCATCCACGGTTCCCGCCCGCGTGTTCCAATTGCTGGCTATTTGTAGGGTCCTTTCCAAACTCGCATTGACGCCATCGTTGAGACCGATCACAGTAGTTTGATCGATAGCTCCATTTCGAATGACTCCAATCCAACGCATTGCCCGTAAACCACATTGTCTCCACTCGGTACCACTTCTCCTTCACATGCAGCTGGTTCATTTCGCCTTCACACAATCTCATCATCAACCCACGAGGCTGGCCAGCCGCCCCCAGCCGAGTCCCCATGGCAACAACCTCGATCGGACAATCTGGATCCCGCTTGAGCTCCAACCGATCGTCGCCCAATGCTTTTCCTTGCCGATATTGCTGCTCTTCATTCATTATTCAGAAACCAAACCCCATCTCTCTGGTGCCGGTTCCCTAAGAAACCAAGAGAAGAAAAAGAGAATCAATTGATCTCACTCTCTTCTTGTTTTTCGCCACCTCCTCTCCTCCTGCTGGACTGATCCCGATGCGTGGAGCTGACTCGTCTGGAGCTTCCCCATCGACCATCCAGCTTGCTCCTCGCCCAGCACGGCTTGCTGCAGCTGGTGCGCCGTGCTCATCGTGTTGTCCCGCCATTGGCGAATCGAGCTTCGTTGCTCCCCAGCCAGTCTCACTTCTCGTCTCCACTCCGGCCAAGCTCTGAGTGTCTCAATTCCCAGCCATTCGCCCGTGCTTGTTGACCAGCCTCTCTCTCGGCTTGATCGTATGTGAAGGAATTGGGCTCGGGCGGGCCTCCAGCCTGCCGATTTTCCTGACCCTGCTTGATCCCAGCTCCAGCTCGTTGCTCTGAGCTCCCTCGGCTGGCTGCAACATATGGGTCTAGGCGCTCCCAGCGGGAAACTAATACCCGGTCGGTTCGAGGCCATTGCTGCCTAGCCTGTTTGCTCTGTGACTGCTCATATCCGGTCGCTTCCTGGGCGTACCGGGAGCTCCATTGTGCCAGCCCATCGCCGTGGAGGGAGCTTCCGAATAATCTGCCGCAGCGATTACTCGTGCTGCTCACAAGGTTACAGCCGTCGGACAATAATCTGCAGAGGTGAGCTCTCACATGCTGACTCCCCACCTGCTCTTCAGCCTGGTCTTGCTCCTTCCCCCGATCACCGCCTTGGAGCTCCGACAGAAGGAAGATGCAAATCTACAATGATAAGAGTGCAAGACAAAGAGAAACGTAGTGGAGGTCTCATATAAATATTGATTATGTAAGTTGTTGGCCATGGCCTGTTGCCTCCGGCCGAAATGGCAACCTAAACGAGGGTATCAATCAAGTCCAAAATGAAATCCCAAATGTTCAAACAATGCCCCATCTCTGAGCGCCGAGTAATCCGTATTCTCGTAAGGCCTTATCAACCCATCTGCCCCGACTTTTCTTGCCTCCAATTGCGCCGTGTCGCTGTCCATCCCCAGACTTCATCCGCGATGGCCGGCATTCGCCATGATTATAAATTAAGTCAGATCGTAACAAATCAACAAGCTATTACAACACATATTTCCAACACAGACATGGAAGAGAAGAAAATGACAAGATGAAGTCAACAAGACCAGGTATTAGATCGTATGTATATATATATGAGAAGGGAATGTCCGGTTCGCTTCAGCCGCGCAGGCCAAACGCCTTCCGGAGTCGGGGAAACCGTTTCTTGCGTCCTGAGGACGAGATCGGTACGTCCGCCACGTTGGTCGGCCGTCCCTCACTCTTGTCTCCAGTCGTTCCAGTCGAAGGGTCTACGTTCTCTTTGACAGATCCCTGTGTAGGTGCAACGACCGTACTGCCGTTTTGAGGAGTTTCATCGACCGTGGCCAGTCGCTCTGGTGGGCTAGAAGCAGGAAGGGGTGAGCCCGTTCGAGTTTCCTTTCGATCGGAGCGCAATGGCCAGTTGTCGCTGCGGGAAGACCGCTGGGAAGGCCGACGAAGTAGCTTGGATGGGGGCGGGGGCGGATTAGTCGCCGTGATGGTGGTCACAATGTTCGACTCAGACCCAGGAAACGGAGACTCCCCTCGGGTTTGTTCATGATCCGGCCGAGGCCGCTCTGGAGGCCCTCCATTGCGTGCGGGACTGTCCACCGCAGATTTTACTAAGCCTCTATCCAAGGGAGACTTCGACTTTCGCATGCTGAAGCGCTTAAAAAGGCCAGGCTTTCGGCCCCGATTAGGTTGGCGAAGAAATTCGTCCAGCTCGTCTTCCGTCATCCCGCGATTCTTAGCCACAACGGCTAGCGCAGGGTCCCGAGATGTGCTCGACTTTGCTGGGGACTGCGGATTGGCTAGCGGGGGTGCACGATGCTCCTCATCGGAACTATCTTCCAGTTCTGTCGAATCACCGTCGTGCGTGCCCTGCCGACGAGGAATGCCCCGGACGGGTCGCATGGCATTCGGGCTCCGCTGTTCATCATCACTGGAATCCTCGTACCGATGCCGTGACCTCCAGGCCTCGTACCCCTCATCGTCCGAGTCCGAGTCAGGAAACCGGGAGGCGAAACCACCGCCCGGCGCCTTTGTAAGTTTGGATTTCGGAGCCTTATTGTTGGAGAACAACGAGGGCTTCTCACGTTTAGGTCCATTCCCCCGTAAGGTTGTGCGCATCGTGCCAAACCCAGATTCGGAAGACACCGGGCGGGTATCCGTTGGCGGGGACGATGCTCTGTTAGGGGCTAAGCGGCCTGGAGTATTCCGCATGGTCCGTCGCATGGTATAGTTGGATTCTGCACGCGCAGGCCGACTAGCCCGTTTGAAGCTGCTGGACGAATCACTACCACTGGATAGGGGTCTTGGTGACGCCGGCGAAGTCTTGTTGCCGTTGATGTGCGGCGTACGGCTCAGGTCCTGAGAGCCGCCTTCGGCAAGAGCTGGGCTCCATGAAACTGGTCGTCTCCGGGAACTGTCTGGAGTCGGCCGCTGGCGTATATGAGAGGGCTCAGGCTGGGATGCCAACTGCCCATTTACAGCTGACCCATTTACACCACGCGGTGCCTTATCACCAGGCATTGTGTCGCTGCTTCCCACCAGCATGGATTGTCTGGCTGGACGCACAGTGACTGAAGAGGAACGTGAAATATCGGCTTGCGGTGGGCTTCGTCTGTTCTTGGGCTGGGTCGGAAACGGTGGATAAGGTGACGAAAACGGAAGGGGCTCGTGGGAAGATCCTGGGGACTCTGGGATCGGTTCCATAACCTTATCCGGGAAGGTAGTCATCGTGTGTGCAATTTGACAGGTCTGAGGGATATCTGGCCAGTCGGTAGATGGCGAGTGAGACCTCCCTGTGTTGGTACCAGTCTCCGCAGGTATTTTGGCCGTGCTCGTGGAAGCCGGAGTCGCCGCTGTTTCGTCGTCCACGATGGCATTGATCGACCCGAAGCCGTTCCCTTCGGTTCCCTCCTCAGCATCACTATAGATACTATCGCCCGACTCGTCACCGCTTTCGTCATCGGAAGGGCCTATGGTGGCATTGTTGGTAGCATCCGTAGAATTCTCCTTCGCCTTCATCTTACCATGGGCGTTGGGGTCGAACTCCAACGACGAGCGAGGAAAACCACCAGGAACTTCATACCACTCGAGGCTCCGACGCTCCTTCTCAAACACGGGAGACGCCGGCTGCACCATAATATTGGGTACTGCCAAAGTTGTCTCTGCGGTACGCTCCTGCCCAGCATGAGATGAAACATCAACCGTTCCTGCCGGGAATTCTGGCTGATTCGCTTGACCAGCAGAATGACTCTCCTGCGGCGATTTCTCTGCCTCAGATTCGCTTTCGGCTGCGTTCGCGAGCATAAGTGGCGCCACGCGGGGCTCTGAGTCCTTCGATTGCTGTTCAGTCAGAAGGCCCCCAATTGCGTGGTCGTTTGAGAATGACCACCTCAATGCTTCCGCAGGCGAGTCAGACGATGTCGTCGAATCGTTGTCGCTCAATTCAGGCACGGATTTCTCTTGCGCCTCACCGTCCCGACTGGCTCGTATACTGCCAAACGACGGGAGAGCTCGGCGCGGCTTCAACACTTCGTCAAACTCTGTGTTCAGCGGAGTCGGCTTCTTCTTCCCACCGAACCAATGGCTCTTCGGTTTGGGCTTCTCGGAGAGCGGCTCAGGAGACGTTTGTTCCGGCGATGTTGGAGGACTTGCAGCAACTCCGACCACCTCCGCCTCGTCATCAAAACTGACCTTGATTGGCTTCCTTCGGATCCCTTGCTTAGTCCCTTCGTCGGAGGCTACCGAGGTCCCGTCAGATAACTCGCTCAAAGGCGGTCCTGGCCGGAGGACGGACTCAGTTTGGCCCTCCGGAGAAAGCGAAGTCTTGCGTGGAGTCTTCATGGCTGATTTGGCAGGGGACAGTGACCGAGGGGGAGGTTGGTGCAGCTGCTCGCCGGCCAAGGCTGCCACCAGCAAGTGACGGGAAAAGTGCGCCGATCTGCCCGGGCTACCTGACTGGCGAATGTCTGACGGCTGACTGTCCTGACCAGCCTCAGTGGGTTGTGTGGGCACCTTGGGACTTATGGGTGGGCTGAGTAATTGATCCTTGCTTCTATCGGGAGTGGGAGGAAATGCGACCATCGGTTGGGCATCCGGCGTCACACTGCCCCCTCGAGGTGGAATAGGCCGCTGCTTTGGGACACCTGACTCGGCACGTTCTTCGCCTTGAGCATCTTCAGCGACCGTGGATGGACGTTTTACTAGATGTGGGCGGACTAGCTGCTTGTGTTCTGAGGGTGCAGCAGGCTGGCTAGGGGCCTGGTCGGGGACTGTCTGCTCGCGAGGGGCAGCGAGGCGAGGGGCCGCAGAAACTGGGGGTTGGGTATGAGTGACATCTTGCACCCGAGGCACCACCGCCGCCTGCGCAGCAGCCACTGCAGTGC